CAGTACTACTAAAAGGTTGTTTACCCCTGATTATAAGATATTAAAAGATAGCCAATATATAATATGTTATGGTGCACTTACAGAGAAACAATAAATTAAAGTGGAGCAGACAGCAAAAGACTATAGGCTTAGTTGTGGTTCAGAAGTTGGACAATTTGTGACCTGTAAATACCAAAAATAAATTGAAAGTTTAAAAATCCTAGACACATGATGTGCTCTGTAGTTCAGGACAAATTAAATACATTTTAAATTATTTTCCTTTAGCTGCAAGAATTAGGTACCCATTATTACAGCTAAAACTGTGACACAATGTTTTGTTTTTTCACATCAAATGAACGAAACACTCCAAGCACCAAGAACACTTCTTCTCACTGTAGTCATTGTGGTGCCTGGAGTGCCCACTCCCCATCGGAAGGAGTCAAACTGTTTTAGAATGGTTTGACATTTTGCTTGGCGTCCGCTGGGCGAGGCTCCCCACCACTACAATTTTTGGCAGAGAGCTAGTAACTTCTAAGCAGGAGATTGTGTTAGCACTCCTGAGCTAAACCCTGCAATGCAGGTTTCATTGTCTGAGAACATCAGCTGATCACTGTCTGCAAATGAATGAGACCATTCTAAAACCGTTCGACTCCTTACAATGGGGGGTGCTAGGCTCTCCTGGTTCTATCTACTAGGCTGAGTGGTTGATGGCCGCTGTAGCTACGACCAAAAATTGTATAGTTTCCTTGCTATGAGACTCTCACTAGCTGCTGTATGGAAATTCAACCCCCAGCCTCCAGGTAGTTTATAGCAAAATTAAATGACAATTGATCTCTAAGTTAGCTAATGTGCAAAACACTGTATCATTCTAACGTTTGGAGGCGTCCAGAAGAATATAAAAGTTGATCACAATAAACTAATGTATACCGTGTGACTCCTTAAAGGACCACTATAGGCACCCAGACCACTTCAGCTTAATGAGGTGGTCTGGGTGCCTGGTCCATCTAGGGTTAACTCTTTTTTTCTATAAACATAGCAGTTTCAGAGAAACTGCTATGTTTATA